AGGAACCTACTATATGTACAATCCTATGTTGTGTTCTCATAATAGGTATAAACTGATGAGTATAACATAAAGTCCCTTACTTTAAGAGATTTATAATATAATGGGATAGAAAAGGTCCATGAAGATGTATATCCTAATTCAGGATATTTTGAGGAGTACTGGAGAATTGCCAAACAAATTTCTGAGGCCTCTTTTCCTAACAAATAAGGGCGCTAAAGGAGATGGGAGGGTTGAGGAAAGATCTTCTTTGTCTGAGGATCACAGTCAAACTGAGGGTCATTCTTCCCACCTCAGCTTGTTCAGTTGTGAGGCCTGGAGCTGTGTTCAGCACTTTCCTGTCCCGAGCCAGCAGGGGGACCTAGGCCATCTCTCTGGGGCTCTTCCCACCGGTGATGGCTGTGTTCCTGGGCCATATCTGCTACAGCATTTGCTCAGCCCTGTACTCTGGATCTGGTCCTAGCCCTGCACCTAGGTCTTGTTGCACAGGAGCCCTGGCCTCTCGCCTAAACCCAAGCCAGCTTCCTGTATCCTGTACGTGGATTCCCTAGCTATGAGAACTGCTATCTCCATGCATGCCCATTAACAAAGCTTACTTATCATGCAGATCGCATTAGTTTGCTATGTGCTCTTATTCTCCATCACCTGGACTGGGGCGGAGGTCTTCCTCCAAAGTCGGCTAATCCTCTGGCATCAGTGAGTGCCCCCAGCACATCTTCATGCAGGTGTTCCCCTCTCTCCTCTCCCACAGGGCAGCGAGACTCTCAGCAAGCTGTACAGCTAAGCCTACAGATTGGCAATAGCAGCCAGGGGGCACAAGGCTAGGGCAGGGGGCTTCAAGATGCAGCCAGAAAAGGGCAGTTGTGGGTAGCAGGTCTCCAAGAAGCCAGTGAGAATGAGTTCAGGCGTGCAGGTTTGCCTCACCATAGAAAGGAGGATGTCTTCTCTACATACCAAGTAAAATACAGCTAACAATAAAAATCCCTTAAGTATGTTGGGTTCTTCACTGAGGGTTTTGTGTCTGTTACTGTATTGTACTGTATTTAATACTCACAGCCCTAGTGTCATCCCCAATTGGCAGATTAGAAAGCAGAGCCCAGGGCAATTAGATCACTGGCAAAGGCCATGTAGGTGGTAAGTGATGGAGCTGGGCCTACACTCATGGCCCTCACTGCCTCTCCTGGGAAGTGTGTATTAGTGAAGTCATTGCAGGAGGAGCTATAGGGAGCAGAGGCCAGCGCTAATGTTGAAAACCTCCAGGTCATAAAAGAAGGGAAATGAGGTCATTTCCAGAGACTGGGCTTGGGGAGCTTAGTCATCTTCATAGAACTTCACAGGAATGGAAATGGGTCAGAACGGCCACAGAGGAGAGTCAGGGGAATTGTCAACAAGACTCCCAGGAATGCTGGTAGGCAGCGGGGGCCCAACTGGTGTGGCCTAAAGTGAATTCTGTAGTGGAACCAATGAATGGGCTTTTATGATTTTCTACAGCCAGCTCCACTGTCCATGCATGCAGGAACACTGATGAGCTGCTGTCATCTTACTCCCTCCTCAGGACCCCACACTTGACTATAAACCCAGAAGTGCAAGTTTGAGTGAAGCCATCTGTAGGGAGGGGATAATGGGATCCCCAGCGGGCAGAAATGGGCCAGGTGGGAATGGTGGAGCCTGAGATGGGTGAATAGAGACCTCCCTGCTGCAGGGACACCAGGAGGAGGCCTGTAAAAAATCAGAACGAGGCCTGGGAGAATTGAAAGGCACTGGCGGGCTTGAGGAAAAAAGAAGCTGTTTGCAAAATCCATGCAATGATAGCCACACATTATAGGCGTGTAGGAAACAGCCGCTTCCCTACTCACCTAGGGTGAATAATAATTGTCAGGCAAGAGGAAGGAAACCTTCATTCCGTTTGCTTCCAAAGAAAATTGGGGACTGCACAGGCTGCTAAGACTCTGGCCCCAGCAAAGCCCTGATGTTCACTAATGAGGCTGTATTACAACCACACTCTGCTTTCCAAAACAGCACCCTCAGGAGAAAAGAAATAAAGTCATTTTTCTTTAGAGGCAGAAGATTTAACATTGCTTAACAATAACGTTTAACATCGCTTAGCCCTTAGCCCCAGGCAACCTTTTAACTACCAAGTGCAAGGGACTGTCTTTTCCCTGCCTGGCCAGGGCTCTCTCTTGGCTCTATTTTGTGTGGTGTCATTTAGCTTGGCAGTAGCTGCCTGGGCTTGCTTTAAAGATGACAGAGTTTCATGAAAGCTTAGGAGGATGCCCTTTGACTGGGGCTTCCCCTCCTCTAGGCACTGTGGGGCAATTCTCCAAATTTGGCATATAAATCAGTATTATTGAGCTTCTCTTAAAATTCCTGTGACATCCTCTACAAACACAGGAACCAAACCAGCTAGTAGCACATGAAGTCCCTTACAAGTGTGGCCACTGACTTCTGATAGATAGAGTTATTCCTATTTGTAATTAAAAATTTAACTCCATAAATATTTCAAAGCTCCCTGCTCTGTCACAGAGAAGGATCTAGTGCCTACGGAACTGTGCTCAACTCCTGCTTGGCAGAGACAGTAGTGGGCTGGTGTGATTCAAGTAAGAGGACATTAAAATCTCCCAGAAAGGGAAGACAAGAAGACCAGGGTCAGTGTGAAGGACGAAGTGCTGAGTCTGCATACCTTGTCAGAAGGTGGCGGTGTTTTGTTTTGTTTTGTTTTTTTTGGTTTTTCTCCGGTACCGGGAACCGAACTCAAGACCTTGCGCTTGCCAGGCAGGCGCTTTTGCCGCTGAGCTAAATCCCCAGCCCCGAAGGTGGCGGTGTGTTCCTCACATCCACATCCTGCACCTCTTGGGGCAAATCTGGGTCCCATGAACTGGACACAATGCTCGCCAGGGACCTCTGAGTCTTCTCTTTACAGTGTGAGAGGGAGACCGAGGTTTGAGCTTCCCCACTGAAGAATGAATTGGGGGACCTCCCATGCATTTGTCAGAGCCCTGTTTATTCTCCATAGTGGCAATTTCTGGTTGCCAGGTAGCTACAAAGGTCTGTTTGCACATGAAACTACTCACTGCTACCACTGTGATTATGGAGAAATTCACTTTTTGCCATAAATTATTTTCAGCTGAAGATGCGTCCCTTTCAGCCCCAGTTAGATTCTTGGGGCTCGCAGGATTTTGTCAGTCTCTACACAGGGTGATTGCTCCGCAGCCACAAACAGCATTAACATTCCGCCTTTGTCAGAAAACCCCTTCTGCAGCGTTTACTCCTGCCACAGTTGTAGGGTCAGCCATGATGGGGCATTTCAGGGCTAATTAGTGAAAAGAAACGAGCTGGAAATTCAGAGGGCTTCATCTTAATAATTACCACTGTAAGCATCTGATGTGCTATCATAAAAGGCTGATTATTTGCCTCTTTTTCTAAAGAGCCGAGTCCTAAGGATAGATTGGGACTATGTCTTCAATTTCCATTCTCCCAGCCTTGATGCATAGTAGGTCATCACCAGATATATGTGAAATGAATACATGAGTCAAATGTATAAAATTTTAAATGCTACTTTTGCGCTTTTGATTTGAATTTAAAATACCCATTTCTGCACTCATAGTACAAGTTGGCCAAGAAGGGATTAAACTGTTTCCAGTTTTCCTTTCCCTCCTCCTCATAAGAACCTATTGCTTTCCATCTGCCCTAACCGCAATTTCCATACACTTCAATAGTGAGAGCCGGAAGTCTTACATTTACAATGAATCTTGGAAACGACTTCCATGTTTAAAAGAAAGCAAAATAAAAGGACAGAGAAAAAATACGAATAGGAGAAAAACTATGGATGAGAAAAACATCCACTATGAGACAACGTAAAAAAGCAAAAGAACACAGGGAGATAAAATACAGTGCGTAGCAGCTTTTAAAAAGATTGTATTTTCGGTATCTTGCCTAATCAGTGTTAAAAATTGGTTCTCTGCCAGATTTGAGATTTTATGACATTTGAAAATCAACATACTCTTTGTTAAGAGCAGATGGTCACCTAGACCATGCCTGTGGTAACATTTAGGGTGTTCCTTTTGTCCAGTCACCTGAAGAAGTATTGCCAACATGCAGCTCAGAACAGGAACTCCATCTCCGGAGCTCGCATTTTAGCAGCTCAGCTTTGATAACAATGAAAGTCTACTTGGGGATCCTTCCAGCACGCCTTTCCAAGGTGACATTTTGAAACATTTCAGTTTTGTGGCTGGCATTAACCTGTCTTTGTTTCTCTTTCAAACTCAGTAATTCTCACACTCTCAACTCATCTAGTTCCCATGGTAGCTGGACGGTAAGTCATCTTGGAAAGGTTTCCTCTTTGTCACACACTCCTGATAGTGGACTAACATTACTCTTCATCTTACAGATAAAGCACCAACCTCTGAGAATTGCATCTCATTTTCCGTGGTGTCTAGTTACAGCATAAGTGGATCATGTTAGGTCAGAGTTGCCAAGTGAACTTTTCCCACACATTTGTTCCTTTTCCCTCTGTGCCTTTCAGTAATATTCACTTATTGCCTCGAGGAGGCGGTCAGATTGTAAACCAGGCAAAAAGAAACACCTTCCCAGCTTCACATTTCCTACGCTGTAACACCCACACGAAGCGCCAAGGTTAAGGTTGGTCTGCCCTCTCTCATGGGTAACTCCTAGGACAGAGGATTTACTATTTTATTGTCTCTAAGCTTGGTGCAAGATGTTCAATACCGTCTTTATAGCAATGGCTTAGCATTTCCATTTGGTATCCAATATTCTTGCTGACATGTTCAATTGCGATGATATACTATTTTCTCCCCTTAAAAAATAACCCACAAGTGTTTCAATTATTAGCACAGTTGTGAAGATGGCACAGGGGCTGCAGCAGACGGCAGTTAGGAAAATTATAACATGTTCCCTATTTCAAAACCAGATTTCTGCTTCATGCGGGCACCTCTAAAGACTTCATGTGTGGGTGTTCTGGCGATGGAGGCCCCTCCGTGATCTACCTGGGTAAGGACGCGTACTGTCTCTCCATCCCCTCAAAGCGGAGGCTGTGCGCATTCCTCTCTGGACTCTTTCCAGACACCTGTGGAGAGAAGAGTAATTAGCGATGAAGACCCATTATACATCCCAGTTACTGACAATGCAGCTAAAAATTCTAATCAGTGCACAAAGCTGCAGCCGTCTGCCAAAAATCAACCATGGGAAAGCAAGCAAGAGCTCAGCGGCGCTATAGGAATTGATGATCATGTCTCAAACAGGGCGTTAACAACAAAGTCACTTCTTTCAAAAATGGTCACTGTCAACTTGCATCCTTCCTGTAGCCACTCCCCTTCATCTGCTTTTTAAAAAGAATTTTAGTTTTTAGAACATCTTTAGAATTACAGAAAAATTGAGTGGATAATACAGACAGCTCTCGTATATCCTGTACCCGGTTTTCCTATTACTACTATCTTACATTTATGGATGGCACATTACTTACAGTTAATCAATCAGCAGGATATATTACTCTTAACTGAAGTCCACAGTTTATTCAGAGTTTACTCATTTTCTGCCCCTATTTAGGACACCATATTACATTTAGTCATCTCACCATCAGAGGCCTTGCTTGGCCGTGACCAGGACCTTGTTCTTAAAAACACCTTTTCTACGAACCTTTCCTCACTGACAGAGATGGGTGGCAATAAGTTACCTACTGCGCAACACCTGGGAAGCCCTGCCTGACCACCCTGAACTTCACCTGGTTCTCTGCCTATGGGCAATTACATAGGTGCAGCGAGCTGCCTTCCATGCAGTGCTGGTGCTCCCTGGATTTTGCCCTTTCCTATGACCTTCATGTGGTCACTTGTCATGGAGCCTTTTCCCTCAGCCTCTGAGATTCTGCAGAGCGGTGACTGAATTCAGGAGGATCTCAACACTGTGCTGTTTTCCTGAATGCTCACACCTGACATGCAACTGGCATACCAAGTGGAAACAGGAGGCACACATAACACATATTTAAAGTGCTTCTGGAGCAATTAATTTCTTACCTGTTCATGTCAAAGCATGTGGTATAACAGAGTATTCATGTGCTAGCTTTGGGGCTGGGGTAGCCCTCATATAGCAAGTGAGGAGGAAGTAAGTAGAAAATCTGGACTGCTGTTGGGTGGGGAGACATGTTTGCTGGTTACACAGGAAGCAGCAGTGTGAATGAAGGTCAGCAGCTGATAATTTTCTACTTAGCAATCTGAATGCTATTTTCTCCCTACCAAAATTCACAGTTCTGTATAAAAACACCATCCCAACTTGTGCAGGGTATGTGTGTCAGGGTGGGAGGTGTGGATGGTGGGAGAAGCTGTGAAGGTAAGACAGGCATTTAGAATAAGAAAGCCTACCACTGGAGAAGACCCTTTAGAGTGTGTCCTGTAACAAACCTCCTTGTGTTTCAGCAATACACATGGCAGGAGCTGCTGGAGTTCTTTGAGAGTGTAAGAATACCTGGGAAGGATGCAGACTGCAGACACAGAAGCAAGTACAGATAGAGACACTGAAAGTTCTCTGCACCAGAATAAAAACCTTATAAACCACCGACCTTTTAGCCAAAGATGAGAGATAAAGATGGTGACAGACAGACAGTCAGACAGACAGGGATTGTACAAATAGCAAAGCAACAGAAGAGCAGGACAGAAGTACTACCCTTAGCCACTGCTATCTCAGATTTTACTGTATTTTTAAATGGTCTCCTATATCAGAATTCCTGTGACTACCAGTACTGTATTAAAGATTACTAATGGTGGACATTAGAGAGACGCTCTGCTCAAGTATGGCTCTAGACACTCAACTCATCTTTTTCTTTTAGGCTCAAAGCTCACATCTTCAGCACTGTCACTGGCCTCTCAAGATGGCTTAGAACCAGGTGACTCAACAAGTAGTGTGTTCTGGTGAGCTAACCAGCGTAGTGGACTTTACAGTGAAATACCAAATGATACTCAGCCTTGAGAAACCTTCTGTTTTGTTGGAAAAAACAAACATTAAAAACCAAATAAAGAATGATGTGCAATAACGTCTGACTGAATACGACAGGATGCTACTAGCAGTAGCACACATGGAGCCTGTAGGTCAGTGGTGGGGAATTTATGGGATGTGTGCCACAGTGGGCATGCAGTGCCCTCTCTGACTGCACTGAGCTGTCGCCCCAGCAGCTGAGCACTGGATAACAGTGCACATAGGGGCAGTGTTGGCATTTTGTTTTAAAAGTGACTTTCGGATTGCAGTTCAGGTACATGGTCTCTAAAAGTTTCACCATTGCGGCTGTAGGTGTAAAGAGAAACTTCAGGAAGGAATCAGAGCTTCAGCCCAGCTTTACATGGTGGGTGGCATAAATGAAAATGTAAATGAAAAACTATTCTGATCCTTACCGATTGCAAAATTTCTGTGCTTTTCTTTTACTATCACAACATCATTAATGCAGTTATTTGATTAATATTACTGAGCAACTACTGTATCCTAATGCCACTGTATTCCAAGTGATGAAGAACTCCAGCCCTGTTCTTGAGGAGACAGGCCTGTGAGCAATTATGCTACAGTGAGATCACCACTCCAGTGGAAGTCTGATGAGGAGGCACACCTGGGGAGTTGAAGACAGCTTCATACGGGTGTTGATATTTCATCTGAAACTTGAATATGAATGAGGAGTCTTTCTGGGGGAGAAAGATGAAAGAGTAGCAGGAAGGAGACTTCTAGGTGGAAAGAACAATAGTAAAACAACACAAAGCTGTAGAAAAGGCACTGTGTTCTCAGAAGGCTTCGAGATTTTGGTAAGGCCAGAAACTATGGAGTAAAGGATGTCATGAACTAACAACAATACTAGTGGTGCTACCATGATGCCTATTACTATTTTTTAGAACAGTTTCAGGTTCACAAGAAAATAGAGAAGGCGGAGAGAGAGATTCCCCATAATCCTTATTTCTACCTCTTCAGAGCCTCCCCCGTTAGCAACATTCCCAATGAAGCAGTGTCGTTGTTAGAAATGATGAACCTACTCTGACACTCCATAATCACCCAGAGTCCATGGTTTCTGTTAGCGTTCTCTCTTGGGGTTGTGCGTTCTGAGCATCTGGACAAATAGATCATGACAAGTATCCACCATTACAGTACCACAGAGATGAGTTTCACTTCCCTGAAAATCCTCGGAACTCTGCCTCCTCATCTCTCTTTCCTGCCAACTTCAGGAAAACGCTTTTTATTGTTCTCATAATTTTCACTCCCAAAATGTCATATAGCTGAAGCTGCACATTATGCAGCCCTTTCAAACTGGCTTATTTCTCTGAGTCACACACATTTAAATTCCTTCCATGTCTTTTCATGGATTTATAGTTAATTTCTCTTTAGTACCAAATAATATTCCATTTCAAGGGTGTATCACTGATTATCTGTTCATCTACTGAAATGCAGCTCAAGTACTTCCAAGTTTGGGCAATTATGAGTAAAGCTGCTATAAACATTTATGTGCAGGTTTTCATGTGGACAAAAGTTTTCAGTACTTTGGGTAAATATCCAGGAGTGCAATTGCTGGATCACATGGTAAGACTACGCTTAGTTTCACAAATACTGCCAGTTGTCTTTCAAAAGTGCTGTACTGTCTTGTGTGTCCCCCAGTGATGAATGAGAGTTCCCGTGGCTCTACTCCCTCAGCAGCATTTAGTGCTGTCAGTGTTCTGGATTTGGGCATTCTAATAGGTGCACAGCGCTATCTCGTTGTTTCACTTCACTCTTCCCTGATGACATAAGATGTGAACATCTTTTCATATCTCTTTGGTGAGGTATCTGTTAACATCTTTAGTACATTTTTGATCAAGTCATTTGTTATTGTTGAGTTTAAAGAGTTATTTGTATACTGTAGATAACAGTCACTTCTCAGATCAGTATTTTGCAAACATTTTTTCCCAGTCTACAGTCTTTCCATTTTCTTGATAGTGCCTTTTGCAGAGGAGAAGTTTTTAATTTTAATGAAGTTCAACTTATCAGTTCTTTCTTTTATGTATTGTGCTTATGGTATTGTTTCTTCTGGGAGTTTCCTAGTTTTGAAGATTCTTCATGCCATAGTGTATGGCAGGTCTACAGACAGTATGACTCAGAAATGATAAGTCCTATGTTAAGGGCTTTTCAGAAGGATGAAGGTGAGAGAGTGACGGAAGAATGTAAGGAGGCAGGATCAATAAAACTGAGTGTAGATTAAAGGGAAAGATGTGTCTGGAAAAATGCCTGAGTGTCTGAGGTTAGCATTCATCTAGACAGAAATAAAGGAAGAACAGATTTAGGAGTAGAGGAGAAAGGACTATTTAAACATACTGAACTTGTTTTGGGAGTTCATGGGAATGTCTCATAGTTGAGAGTAAAAGTTTGCAATTTAGAAGAGAATTCTGGACCAGAGATGCTGAATGGAGAAACCTGTAGCATACGGAAGGTAGCTGAAACCTTGGGAACGCCCAGCTACAGTGTGTAAAGACAGTATAAAGTAAGACACGCAATGTGAGTACAAAAGAATACCAATAGTATTCACAGGAACACTATCATTAAGGGGCAGACAAAGAAAGTTGAACCCAGAAAGAAATCTGATGAAAGGCAGATGGCCCAGAAAGGAACCAGGGGAAAACATTATAATAAAAATTGAGAGAAAAAAGTTCCATGAAGGAGAAAGTAGGGAAGACATGAAAAATAATCAAGAACTTCAGCACAACAAGGACTATCTTGTACACGATGTTTTGGTGCACTTTAAACAGTCCTCCCTTCTTGTAGAGTGTCACCCTGAACTATAGAGCCTGGAAAGCTAAAACTGTCTTTCCCAGGATTCCCTTGCAGTCCATGCCCTGGTTGTGATTTGAGTTAGGCCATAACATTTGAGAAATAGAATTTAAGCAATGGCCGCACTTTCACTGTTTATTCTGGCAAGAATGTCTAAAGAAATGCTTGGTTTTCTACAGCCACTTTAGCGGATGCATCGTTGCTGGTTTCAGGGGTGGGATGTAGTTTTTATATTGGTTTTGGAGTTGGTGACAACAGGGCTGACCCTCTGGTGGTAGCATCCCCATAATCACAGTGGCTTTG